TGCTATATTTTTTTGTGATAAAAATTATATGTATTACCATAAAATTATATATATAAATTATTTACTATTGCTTTGGTATGTGTCAATTATTTTTCTATTTAATTAGAAGAAATATTTCGTGGATTAAAAATTTTATAATAACTAGGAACTCTCTAGCTTATAATAGCGTTATAATAAAACGTCGAAAAGTTCGATAAGTCTAAATGTAAACAAGGTATTAAAAAACAAAAGTTTTATATTTCAAGAGGATTGATTCGAAAAAACGTCGAAAAGTTCGATAAGTCTAAATGTAAACAAGATATTAAAAAAACAAAAAATTTTTATTTCAAGAGGATTGATTCGAAAAAATTGTTTTAAATTAATATAGTATCTAAAACAAACTGAGAATGGTTACAGGCTCCTCGGCTAGGTCAATTATTTCTTAGTCTGATAAAGTGATCAACAATAATCCAGTCAAGGCATAAAGAGGGGTTTTGAATATACATCGAGTTAATAGAGAGTAAAAGTGCTCAAGTGCACTGGCTCAAATAGCTTCAACATAATTAATTAATTAAAAGAATTAAATATTTTGATTTTTGGGAATAAAAATTTTTCTCTTAAAAACCAAATAGTATCTGGATTAAGATAAACCTGATATCTTTAATGTATACATTGTGACCGAAAAGTTTTCGGAGGTTCTCATTTAAAATTCGCGCGCTGTATATTTTCGCATTTTTTAAGTTTATGTGAGTTGGCAGCACTGTCCTAATTACTAGCCAAAATGAGGCGCGATCTGTCGGACAGTTCGTTTACGGCAGCTGTTGAAACCAGTTCACCTCAGTAGTGCGTTGCGAAAAAAACAATGGAAAAAAATATTGAACAAAGAGTTTGCATCAAATTTTGTTTTTCGAACGAAATTTCGTGTGCAGAATCGTTGCGAATGCTACAAAAGGCTTATGGGGAATCAGTTTTATCGAAAACTCAAGTTTATGAGTGGTACAAAGCCTTTCAGGACTGTCGTACGACCGTCGAAGACATGCCGCGTTCTGGACGACCTTCGACCTCTACCACCGACGAAAACATTGAAAAGGCAAAGGAAATCGTGTTCAAAAATCCTCATGTGAGTGTTAGAGAGATAGCACGAGAGCTAGGCATCGGTCGTGAGATGGCTCGTTTGATTTTGGTGGACAATTTGTGTATGCGACGTGTCAACGCCCGGCTTGTTCCGATTCACCTCAATTTGTTCAACATTATCAACGATTTTAAGGCCAAACATTCAATAAATACCATCGAACAGCCACCGTATTCACCTGATCTTGCACCGTGTGACTTTTTCCTGTTTCCCAACCTCAAATTACCACTCAGAGGAACGCGTTTTGAATCCATAGAAGACGTAAAACAGAATTCGCAGAGGGAACTCAAAGCCATACCGGAAAGCGCCTATAAAAAATGTGTTTGATGATTGGAAGAAACGTTGGCATTTGTGTATCGCTTCTAATGGAGCTATTTGAAGAGATAAATAAATATTGATGAAGATTAAGAATTTTGCGTTTTATTTAAAATTTCCGGAAGCTTTTCGGTCACAATGTATATTTACACAAAAATCAATCCTTTAAGAGTTAAGACTGAATTGATTTTTTTTCAAAATTAATATAAATACCTATTATTGAATAAACCCTACCTTCTTTGAATTAAATAATCTAAAATTTTATTTAAATTCCAAAAATCTCTATTAAGAGAAACTGATTTTTGTTTATATTCAAACAAACAATTAATATTAAATTTGATTTTAACGTCAGTTATGACGAAAGTGACTATTTTACTTAATAGAAACTATTATGTTTAATAGAGAGGTTTCGAACAGTAGTAAATTACAATAATAAAATTTTATTATTTTTAATTAATTGAGTTTTTGGGTAGCCATACATCTGTTTCGAGTATTGCCAAATACTAATCATCAGTATTCTTGGAATTATTTCTTGTTTTTAATTATTAATACATAATCTTTTGCGACTATAAGTATCAAGGGTTCAACTCGTACCCTGCCAAATTTGAAGCTCAGAGTCAGCGTTCATTGAGCAACTGACTCAAAGCCTTATCGTTACTTGACTTGTATGTTAGAACTTGGAGTTTTGTTAATTTGCTGTGAAAGTTCATTAATACATATATTTGCTGTGTTATATTAGAACAAAATCATATATAATATATAAACATAATAAAAATTATAGTTATTTTTAATTGTTAAATTTAATTTTAATATTTTAAAAGTAAATCATATCTGAATACACATTAAGTTGATATCTATAGAAGTTTTAAATAATTGAATTTTTGGCTGACCATACAGCTGTTTCGAGTATTGCTAAATACCCATCGTCAGTGAACACCTCTCTATTTAAATACCATAGTTTTTATTAAAGTAAAAATAGTCAGTTCTGTCGTATTCATGTTAAAATCAAATTTAAGGAATATTTTTAAACAAAAATCAATCATTTACAAGTTAAAGCTTTTTGAAGAACAGATTATCTCTGGATGTGGACTAAGTTAATTCCTTTAAGGAATAGATTCAAATAAAGGTGAAGTTAAAATTAAGCTAATAAACTTTAAATTCTATTTAAATCACTTTTTCGAAAATTTCATTTAAAATCAATATCCTTTATATTCCCCTCAGAGAAAGTAGAGTACGTTTTATTTATACTTTGGAATATGAGAACATCTTAAGTTAATATCTTAAATTTTAATAAATGCTGCGCGAATCTTTGTAGGGTAAAGTTCCCTTCCATTCACAAAGTTTATTTAGTACCGAGACCCTTGTCTCAGCGTATTTGTTTTTTATAGTACATAAATAAAAAAAAGTCATCAAAAAGTCGTTAAAAAGTCACCAATCACTTACACTACAACCTCTCTAAATCACACAATCTATACGTACTCTCTTATAAATAACATTCAAAACAATATTTTACTGATAAATAGAAGTAAAGTTTGATTAATATTATTATATTATTTCATGGAATATTTGAAACTTTCTTGGAAATAGTTGCATATGGTCTATAAAGCAATTGATTCTACTTATATATAACATTACATACTTGGTACCGGCCATACTGACGAAAATGGTTTCGAAATGCATCTTGAATTATATACTATACATTAAGACTGAAAAGTTTTCGGAAATTCTCATTTAAAATTCGCGCGCTGT